TCTCCTGCCTCAGCCTCCCAAGTAGCTGGGATTACAGGCGTGCACTACCACGCCTGGCTAATTTTTGTATTTTTAGTAAAGACAGGGTTTCACCATATTGGCCAGGCTGGTCTTGAACTCCTGACCTCAGGTGATCTGCCCAACTAGGCCTCCCAAAGTGCCGGGATTACAGGTGTGAGACAACACACCTGGCCTTTAGGTACATATTGATGAGAACTTAAAACATGTTCACACGAAAACTTGTACATGAATGTTCACGGCATTATTCAAAATTACAAAGAAGTAACTCAAATGTCCAACTGATAAATAAATAAACAAAATGTGGTCTATCCATACGACGGCACATTATTCAGCAACAAAAGGAATGAAGTGCTGACACATGCTCCACCATGAACGTTTCCTGAAAATACGACGCTGAGCGGAGAGCCAGGCACAAGATGCCACATGCCGTGTGAGTCTATGATGTGAAATGTCCAGAAGAGGTAAACCCAGAGACGGCAAGTAGACTAACAGTGCCAGGGTAATGGAGGACTGGTGACAGGCATGGGGTTCCTTTCTGAAGTGATGAAGATGTTCTGAAACTAGATGGTGGTAGTAGTTTCATGACATTGTGAATATACCAAAAACAACTACACTGTATATTTTATTTATTTATTTATGAGACAAAGTCTCGCTCTGTCACCAGGCTGAAGTGCAGCGATGCAATCTCAACTCAGTGCAAAGTCCGCCTCCCAGATTCAAGCGATTCTCCTACCTCAGCCTCCTGAGTAGCTGGGACTACAGGCATGCACCACCACACCCAGCAATTTTTTTGTATTTTTAGTAGATAGGGTCTCCCCAAGCTGGCCAGGCTGGTCTCAAACTCCTGACCTCAAATAATTCGCCCTCCTCATCCTCCCAAAGTGCTGGGATTATAGGTGTGAGCTACTGCACCTGGCCAACTATACACCTCAAAAGGGTGAATTCTGTGGCTTTTAAACAGGGGCAGACATTTGAACTCAATCTTAACGGATGTGCTCCTTGGGTAGACCATAGCAGGAAGAAAATTCTGGGCAGAAAGAATAAAATGAGGAAAGGCACGGAAGCCACAAAAGAACAGTGCACATTCAGGGAAGTGAACATGGCTATAGCTGCAGAAGAGGGTATACACTCAGGAGTGAGTGGCAATGCAGTGAAGAGGCAGACAGTGAACATGCTATATGCCAGCCAAGGAGGACGCCATGGGGTGCCTTCTGTGAGAATGAGCCTCCCAGGAGAGTATCACCAAGTTGCCTGGTTCAATCCATCTTGTCAGGGAAGCCTCCTTCTGTCAACTCAGAATCATCTAACAACTGCACTCCATGGCGGTAAGCCAACAGTCCTTTTTACATTTATAAGATACATTTATTTACAGTATTGGTTGTTCTCAGTTTTCCTCCCAGCAGGGTCTAGACTCCGTGAGGGCTGCCTCGTTTCCAATCTTAACTGTGTCAGTCCAAGTACAGGAGGAGCAGCCTGAGGAAGCCCCTATGAGAATAGCAGTTTCAACCAAACGCTTTCGTTTTCTTCACATCACAGAACTTTGCTCATGTTTCCACTCTGTGTGAAACGTGCTACTGATCACAGATTCTATTTAACACTTCGCCCTGATCTATTTCAAACACCGCTTCCTTGTGAAGGCCTTCCTTGCCTCCCACCTGGATGTGAACTCCTCCTTCTTTACAGAGGGTGTGTTTTGTACTTTTCTTATGGCACTGATTTCCTCATCTCTTCTATTAAAGTTACTGGGCACTGCTCTCATCTTACACATCCCTTGCCCCTCACCTACTGGAATCCAAACATCTTGAAAAGGTTTACGCCTTTCTGAGCCTCGCAGATCCCAGCACTGTGCTGGGCAGTCTGAACTGAACTGTTCAACGAGCAGCAAAAATGATAGAATCAGAGATAGAAATAACCATGATCACAAAAGTTTCTAAAAATCCGAGAAGAAACTATACAAAACAGGATGCAGGTACAAATAACAGACAGTGTGTTGAATCGATTTGTGATGACTTGGCTTGTTTATTTCCATCACATGGATTTCATTTTGCTAGAACCCCAGAAGACTCAGACAAAAAGTAATGGCCTCCCAGCTGCGGTGTTCCCAAGTCTGTGGTTTTCCTGTGATATAAACAAAGGACTCTGGGGACACAGTCTCTGTTACTGTTTGTTGGTGTGGGTATGGGGAGGAGGGGATGGTGGGACGGGGCAGGATTTGAGGGAAATCCACTGAATGAACTAACAGTTCATAAGCAACACCTGCAGTGTTAAACCCCTTCCAACTGTGATTTTATTGAGAAAAAAAAATTCCACTCTTCCTTTGGTAAGTGTAAAAATTCTTTTACCAGCTGCATTCCAACCTAAAGTGTGTGGCAGTTCAGGAGAGATGGCAGCTGGAACAGATCACATTCAGGATGCAGAGAGCGCTCACCAGCAGCAAGGGGACAATGAGAGCCTGCAAACGCATCCTTAGAGCCTGTTCTTCCAAAGAGGGTTGGCCTCAATCTGCCTGCTCAGAGTGTCCTGCTCTGAACACAGAATACTGGACGTACCTGTCAGGACTGGACTGGTGAAAAGATCAGCTTTTGGAATAAAACTGTGACATCAGCTATTTTAGGATTGCCACTTCAGTTCATAAAACTCTAAAGCCTACATTTTGGTCAAATATTTACAATCTACTGCAAAACCAAATTCAGACCAAATGTCTGCTTACACAACCTTATAACACGGTCAGGCCTCCTGATGAGTGGGAGAGGGAGCTAGCATTTAATGAGAACTATGTGCCTGGGGCTACACCAGGAATGACCACTCACTACATGCCTGTGGCTACACCAGGAATGAGCTCTCACTATGTGCCTGGGGCTACACCAGGAATGAGCACACACTATGTGCCTGGGGCTACACCAGGAATGAGCACTCATTATGTGCCTAACCATAGACCAGGAATGAAGACTCACTGTGTGCCTGGGGCCACACCAGGAATGAACACACACTACGTGCCTGGGGCTACACCAGGAATGAGCACTCACTACATGCCTGGGGCTACACCAGGAATGAACATTCACTATGTGCCTGGGGCTACGCCAGAAATGAACATTCACTATGTGCCTGGGGCTGGGCCAATCCGATCCATGTTCCGTCCTTACAGGGATTCTGGGATGCAAAGATCCACAGTCTACACAGGGCTGTGGGCCCAAGTGATATCATGTTGGTCCACACAGGTGAAGTGATTTGCTCAATGCCCACAGGAAACATGGGAAGAGTTAGGTCTGTCTGACTCCATATTGAGTATTCCTCCCACTGCCCTCTGCTACTGGCCAGTACAACCCCAAGAAATTCCTTCTCCAGAATTTCCAAGAATGCTACAAGAGCCTATGACTCTAGAGCAGACATTGGCAAACACTTTCTACAAAGAGTCAGAGTAAATATCTTACTTTTCTTTTTAGCTTTGTGGGCTACACAGTCTCCACTGCAATGACTCAATTCTACCAGTGTATTGCAAAAAGGCAGCCATAAGTAAATAAAGGAACATGGCTGTACTCCAATAAAACTTTATTTTCACAAATGAGCAGTAGACAAGATTTGGTTCCCAGGCCCTAGTCTGGCGACTCTCCTCTACAAACTTCTAGAGTAGCAGCTTCCTGTGATTTGGGTTTGCCATAAAAAAGGCCCATTTCCGACTTCAACAAAAGTGAGTCTTCCATATTCAAGGCTACATGAGAGATAAGAGTGGTAAAAGCCATGGTCTAGGCTGCGTGTGGTGGCTCATGCCTGTTATTCCAGCACTTTGGGAGGTCGAGGCGGGCAGATCACCTAAGGTCAGGAGTTCGAGACCAGCCTGGCTAACATGGAAAAATTCCGTTTATATTACAAATACAAAAATTAGCTGGACCTGGTGTTGGCGCATGCCTGTAATCCCAGCTACTCAGGAGGCTGAGGCGGGAGAATCGCTTGAACACAGGAGGTGAGGTTGCAGTGAGTCAACATCACGCCACTATACTCCAGCCTGGGCAACAAGAGTGAAACTACGTCTCAAAAAAAGAAAGAAAGAAAGAAAACAGAAAGACATGGTCTGTGCACTTACGGAATTTACATTTATTTGGGAAAAGGCACAGGCACATAAAAGCCAAAAATAGGAACATGAGGTAGCACTTGGTAAGTGTCAAAGGAGGGGACTTTGAGGGCCAGAGGCTGACTGATGGGCCACCACGGTATTAGAAAACTAGAGTTCACAACCTGATCAAATAATCTTGCATTGGCACCAGAACTCAGAAAGAGTCGGAAAAACCTCTCACTGGGCAAGAATGAATGAGTCAGAAGTTACTGCTCTAAGCACTACCGCAAACACCCATTCTGGTGAGACCACACCAAGGTTTTCAGCATGTGTCAGATGCTAATCAAAGCCATCTCAGCTGGGCACAGTGGCTCATGCCTGTAATCCCAGCACTTTGGGAGGCCTCGGCAGGATGAATGCCTGAAGCCAAGAGCTCAAGACCAGCTTGGGCAACACAGCAAGACTCGTAGCTCTACAAAAAATTTAAAAAGTAGCTGGACGCAGTGTCATGTGCCTGTGGTCTCGGCTACCCGGGAGGCTGAGGCAAGAGGACTGACAATTCAAGGGTCAAGGCTGCAGTGAGCCACGATGGCACCACTGCCCTCCAACCTGAGTGACAAAGAGACCCTGTCTCTAAAAAATAAAAATAAACCACAGACAGTATCTCCTTTAGACTCATCAAACACATTCACTTCATCTTTTTTTTTTTTTTTTTTGCCATCTTCCAATACTGTGATGCTCTGTCTCATCCTAAAAGGACAAGCAACTGACCACACTCAGGGAGCAGCATAAAGTGAGTGCTTTAAGAAACTCGTGGGGCCTTTCCATCCTCCTCCCAGCCAATCCTTTAAACTCTGAAGAGCCCGGAGAAGCTACAGACCTTGGGCTGCTCCTGAAGTTTTTAAGATGCCGTTTCCCAAGACCTTACCTTGCTCATGGCGGTCAGGGCAGGATCACAGGCAGCATCCAGATCCTGAACCAGCAGCTGAATACTACTGGAGATGACGCTGCAAATCAAACAAATCACTGTGGTCACCCTTCAAACACAGCCGTCTGAATGACTGACACAGCCCCTTCCAAATGTTTTAGGGCCTGTGTAAAACTCAGATTCATTGTTTCATCAGCGAAGTCTGAGCTGTAATGAATGACAGTGGAGGAGCCGTCCGGCTCCTTCTTCATGTCCTGGTTTTACCTGGGTGTGTCCTCACCCCATCAGGACACAGGGTCCCTGGCCCGTCTCCCCAGTCCCCACCCCCAGTATCCCTGCTCACATCTTCCTCCAAAAGAACTGAAGAAAATAAAAAGTTAAGAGAAGTGGGGGAAATAAACTAAGAAGAGAATTTTTATTTTCCTCAGTAAATGGCTGATGTGAAAGCTGAGGCTTGGCCCATGCCTGTCTCATTTAATGGCAGTGGAACAGCAAATGACCACAACGAAAATGCCACACGGTCCTAACAGGGAAAGGAGGCTGTACTGCTTGAACTTCCCAGACGAGCCCCTGCCACCCCACACTCTCACACCCTCAGTGGCTAAAATCAAGCCCTTTCTACTTTCTACTTTAAAACACTGAAGGTAGGCCTGGCCTTCTGTGGGTTTAGGCAGGAGAAGATCAGGGATGGCCAAGGGAGAATGTCTTCTCTGCAGTTCTTCTTCACAGTGAGACAATAAAGGCCCCATAAGCTAAAAGCACAACTTCATTTGAGGAGGCACATGGCAGAGGCACCAGTTCTGAGGCTGCTTCTTAGTGCCCTGTAGGGACAAATTCTGACCTGACAGAAACCTCTTAGGTCCTGCAGTGGCTGAAGCCAACAGCCTGAGGCATGCTGCTGGGTAGCAGAGAAAGGATAGGTGGTGAGAAGGTGTGTGCGAGGTATGTAGTACGCGTGCGAGGTGCACACGTGCTGAATGTGTCCATCTCTCCAGTCAGACTGATTCACTCGGTCAGACTTAGACATGCTGCTGGGTAGCAGAGAGAGGGCAGGTGGTGAGCAAGTGTGTGCGAGGTACATACGTGTGCCAGGTATGTATATGTGCGAGGTACATGTGTGTGAGGCACGTACGTGTGCAAGGTACATACATTTGAGAGGTACGTACGTGCTAAATGTGTCCATCTCTCCAGTCAGATTGATTCGCTCAATCAGACTTATATCCACTTTTTCTTTGAGTTTTTCTTCTAGCTGTTGGAAAATGGGAGAAAAAGACACGGTTAATGATTATCCAAAGTATCACAATCATAATAGTTAATATTTACTGAGTTTAATGATTCAGGCATAATTCCAGACACTTTTAGTTCTTACAATCTTATGAGGAAGATTCTATTATCATCCTCGTTTCACAGATGAGAACATAGAGAAGGGGCCTACCCAAGGCAGAAGTGGGAGGGCCAGGAATCAAACCTCCTCCAGAGCCCGTGCCCTTCAGCATGGTGTTGTACTTGTTTCTTATGACACATCAATAATTCACATCAATTCGTTCTGAAAAGACTCTGATTTTAAGATACTCCCTGCCGCATGAAATACAGACTTGCCCACTCACACTGGAAACCTTTGGTGGTGAGCAGCAGTAAAACTAGACGAAGTAGTCAGTGGATGCTATGGGCCGAGAACCTCATTAAGGCGTTGGGGATACAGTGGTAAACAAAAGAAATGTAGTCCTTGCCGCCATCAGCCTACAGCCTGGGACCAAGACTCAGTCCCTGCTGTCATCAGCCTATAGACTGGGACAGAGATGCGGTCCCTGCTGTCATCAGCCTACAGCTGGGGACCGAGATGCCATCCCTGCTGTCATTAGCCTACAGCCTGGGACAGAAACGGTCAACATGCTCCTGAGCTCAAAGGAAAATACAACCAGACCTGGACTTGTAAATCCTTAAAAACATCCCTGGGAGTTCATTAATCTAGCACTGTAAGCCTATTACACAAACTCTAAGAATAGCTAATGTTTTATCTTTTTTTTTTTTTTTTTTTTTTTGAGATGGAGTTTCCTTCTTGTTGCCAAGGCTGCAGTGCAGTGGCATGATCTTGGTTCACTGCAACCTCTGCTTCCCAGGTCCAAGCATTCTTCTGCCTCAGCCTCCTGAGTAGCTGGGATTACAGGCGCGCACCACCATGCACGGCTAACTTTGTATTTTTAGTAGAGATGGGGTCTCGCCATGTTGGTCAGGCTGGTCTCAAACTTCTGACCTCAGGTGATCCACGCACCTTGGCTTCCCAAAGTGCTGGGATTACAGATGTGAGCCACCGCGCCCAGCTGGGATAACTAACGTTTTGTCTTAAATGTGAAAATGCTGTTGGGGAGCATAAATTAGTATAACCTTTTCGAAGGCAATTTATTCAAAAAGCAAAATTGTAAATACATATACTGCCTAAACCAGCAATTTCACAACTAGAAATGCATTTCAATGAAATAAGGGGAATAACGTATAAAGATATGCAAGTATTTTTGCAGTATTCATTAATTCAACCAATATTTACTGAAAGCCCACTTTTTCAGGCTGTGTAACACAGTAAGAGAGGTACTCAGTGAGCAAAACGGATCAATACTGTTATAAAGCCTACATGCTGGTGTGGTTTTATATTACTGAAAAGCTGGAAACAATCTACGTACATATTTACAAGGGACTGATAAAACAAATTATGGCACAGGAGTATAATGCTTCAACTCTTCAGCAGCCTCTTCCTATGACACCAAAAATAAAAATCAAACTCCTGACTGTGAACTGGGTTCCTGCCACCTGTCTGGCCCCGTCTTGCTACTTTCCACCTTCCCTGCTAGGCCTCAGTTATGCTGGCCTTTTAAACTTCTGGGACACACCAGGGTCCTTCACTGTCAGGACCTTCGTACCTCACACTTCCTTCTTCGTCGCTCTGCTTGGCCCTACTCCCCCTTTCCAAGCCCTGCAGGTTCCTCACATGGCAGTCTCCTTCCCTAGGCCCCGGGTCCCTGCCTCAGTCTCACCTCTTCAGAGAGGCCCTCCGTGACTACCCACTTCAGTAGACAACTCTCTTATTCTAGCACTGCCAAGTATGTTTCTTTCCTAATATCACAAAACTGAAGTTCCATCTCAGCTGGCTGGCTTTCTTATTACCTGGCTCCCCTAATAGGTTTAAGTTCCATGCCAGAAAGAAACTGCTCTGTTCACCTCTGTTAATTAGCACCAAATATGGTGCTTGGTGCACAGTAAGTGCTTACTGAAGATGTCTTGAAGGAAAAAATGAATGAATGGAACAACCTTGCAGGTGTTAAAAAGGCTGAGGCAATACTGATGTGGAAAGATGTCCGGACTGAGGTAAAAACAAAACAATGCTGCTTTGTTGTGGAACCATATGCAGAGCACAGGCCCATTTTATTTAAAAAGATACAACCAAAAACTGTTTGAAATCTGATAAAGTAAATGGCGGTTGCTCTGAAGGGTTACATGATGGGGAATTTCATCCCATATGTGTATGGTTCCTATGACATTTGAAACTTTTTAGGAATGCGTATCACTTAAACTATTTAATAGGAAAAATTTCAAACATCTACAAAAACACAGAGAACAGTAACATGCGCCAAGGCCAGCATCACCAACTGTCATGACACAGCCAGTCTTGTCTGATTTACATCCTCACATATTCTCCCATCCCTTCAATTACTTTGAAGCAAATCCTAGAATTCTATCATATCATCTGTAAATGTTTCAATATGCATCTCTGAAAGAGAAGCACTCCTGAAAAAAAAATAAGCTCAAAACCATTATCATGTCTAAAAAATATATCAGTCAGCACATATCTATCCAGTCAGTAACCACAGTTCCCTCATTCTCTTACCATTTTCTAAATGGTTTATTCTGGCTGGGTGCAGTGGCTCATGCACTAGAATTTTGGAAGGTTGAGGTGAGGAGATCGCCTGAGGCCAGAAGTTTGAGGACAGACCGTGCAACACACTGAGACACTGTCTTTACAAAAGCAAACGCACAAACAAAACTAGCTGGGCTCGGTGGAGGCTGAGGCAGGAGGGTTGCTTGAGCCCAGGGGATCAAGGCCACAGTGAGCTATAATGACACCACTGGACTCCAGCCTGGGTGACTTGAGTGAGACCCTATCTCAAAAAGTCTGTTTTCATCAAGATCCAAATAAAGATCACATATAGCAATTGGTTAATATGTCTCTCAAGTTGCTCTGTTTTTTGAGATGGAGTCTCGCTCTGTCCTCAGTCTTGGCTCACTGCAACCTCTCCCTCCTGGGTTCAAGCAATTATCTTGCCTCAGCCTCCTGAGTAGCTGGAATTATAGGTGCCCGCCACCACGCCTGGCAAATTTTTGTATTTGTAGTGGAGACGAGGTTTCAATGTGTTGGCCAGGCTGGTCCTGAACTCTTGACCTTGTGATCCACCCGTCTCAGCCCCCAACATGCCAGGTGTCAGCCACCATGCCCAGCCTCTCAAGTCTCTTTAAAAAATATATATAATTAACACGTGGAAAACATACACATCTCTAGTGTTTAGTTAGATAAGTTTGACAGTCATACACACCCATGTACTCACGAATAACAACAAGATATTGAACATTTCCATTCCCCCAGAAAGTACTCTCATGCTCCTCAACCCCTTTCAAATCAACTCTACCCTCATACTATCTGATTTCTATTACCACAGATTGGTTTTGCCTGTATAGGATTTGAATTTTATATATAGTAGCCCCCACTTTATGTGAAGTTTTCGCTTTGTACAGTTTCAGTTACGTATAGCCAACCACAGTCCAAATATATTAAATGGAAAAATTCTAGAAATAAGCAATCTATACACGTTAAATTGCAAGCCATCCCGAGTATCGCAATGAACTCTTGTGCCATCCTGCTCTGTCCCGCTTGGGAGGTGAATCCTGTGTCCAGCTATCTGTGTTGTTTACACTCCTCACCTGTTACCGTGCAGGAAAAAGTGTGTACCACGTACAGGGTTTGGTACCATCTGTGCTTTCAGGCACCCACTTGGGGGCTTGGAATGCATCTCCCACAGATAAAGGGGACTAATTAATGTAAATGGGATTAGACAGCATGTACTCTTGATGTGAGGCTTCTTTCAACATATTTCTGAGACTCATCCTATTGGTGTGTATATGAGCAGTTCATCCATTTTATTGCTAAATAGTGGTCCATTGTACAGACACCACAACTTGCCAGCCATTCTCTTGTTGAAGAACATTTAGGTTGCTTCCAATTTTAGGCCACTATGAATGGGGCTACTATAAATTTCCTTGTATACCTCTTATGTTTTCATTTTTCTTGGGTAAATACCTGGGAATTTGATCCTGCCATTGCTAGATCATAAGGTTTTATAAGAAACTGCCAAGCTGCTTTTGAAAATGAGTATCTTGGCTTATATTCTCCACACCAACATGTCAGAATTCCAGATGCTCCACATCCTCACCGATCCTTGTCATTGTCAGCATTCCGGATGTTCCACATCCTCACTGATACATGTTGTCATCCTGTCAGAATTCCAGATGGTCCACATTCTCACTGATACTTAATGTTGTCATTCTTTTTGTTTTTGTGTGTCATTCTTTATGTCAGAATTCCAGATGTTCCACATCCTCGCTGATAACATGCTGTCATTCTTGTCTGCATTCCAGATGTTCCACATCCTCCCTGATACCTGTCATTATGTCAGAATTCCAGATGTTCCACATCTTCGCCGATACGTGATGCTGTCATTCTGTCAGTATTCCAGATGTTCCACATCCTCACCGATACTTGTCATTGTCAGAATTCCAGATGTTCCACATCCTCGCTGATACATGATGCTGTCATTATGTCACAATTCCAGGTGTTCCACATCCTTGCTGATACTTGTCATTCTTACGTCAGAATTCCAGATGTTCCATATCCTCACCAACACGTGATGTTGTCATGTCAGAATTCCAGATGTTCCATGTCCTCGCCGATAACGTTGTCATTCCTTGTTTTCGTTTGTGTGTCATTCTTTATCTCACAATTTCCGATGTTCCACATACTCGCCAATACATGATGTTGTCATTATGTCAGAATTCCATATGTTCCACATCCTCGCTGATATATGATGCTGTCATTTTTGAATTCCAGATGTTCCACATCCTTACAGATACGTGATGTCATTCTGTCAGAATTCCTGATGTTCTACATCCTTGCTGATATGTGATGCTGTCATTCTTGTCTGAATT